TATATATGAGCGAGAGAGAGAGAGAGAGCGAGAGAGAGAGAGAGAGAGAGAGAGAAATTACATTAAGTAGGTCTTAATTAAAAGCTAAATTAAGACGGTATGTCTTGAGCCACTTCTTAAAAACATGAACATTGGCACTTCCTGATAGACTTTTTTTGTTTTGTATTTATTAAACCGTTATTTTATTTTTTTACGAAATGCACTAAGGAGTGGCACCCAAATTTCGTTGTATGTAATACAATGACAATAAAGGCGAGTCTGATTCTGATTCTGACTATACAGCTCTTTAAATTCGGATTTTACAATTGCTCAGATCACTTCTTTTTTTCGGTGTATGTATTTATTCATTTATTTATGTTTTTAACCCAACAAAGTGGCGTTATTGGCCCAAAAAATAGGCATACCCTGGATTCTCTTCTCAGGTGTCGCCAAACGTGGTGGTGATATTGGCCAAAACATTAGGTAGACCCCGGATTATTGTCTGTAAGCATCCCCAATGAGGTGGCCATGTTGGCCAAAATATTACGTACATCCCGTATTCGCGCACCAAAGCCTAACCCAGTGGGGCAGCCATATTAAACCTACTGTGTCACTTGCTCAGTTTAAACCCTTCCAACTTAAAACTGTTCAGCATGTACAGCTGTGCATGAGTCAGCAGTTCTGTTTAAAATTTCTGCAGGAATTTTGTAGTTACCATGTTATTGCGATTAATATTTAAGACTCCCAATTTTTTTCAACAGAAGGTACTGTTGACTTGTGTTTTATTTTCATGCGTATGTGTGTGTTTATTTCAAGACTGTCCGCACTTAAAATGTTAATTTCGATTACCCTCCTTGTAAGGTACTCCGTAAGAGCGGTGCTGCAAGTGTTTTAAGCTCCAAGAAGGAAGAAAAAGTATATCTTACCATGCCTGGCTTTGACGATGATGATGAAATCTTGGAAAATGAGGTGCAGTACAACTATTGAGCAATTACCTAATAGACACGTGGAGTTGGCCTACATGGTCACTAAATGATATGATTGTTTTTTTTTTTTAATGTTTATAGTCAAGTCAACCGTCTTCACATCAGCAACTGATGAATCTCCACCTAGATCTGAATGACCTAAAAGGGGGCATACAGTATGAGGTACACAGAACCGTAAGATCCAAAAGTATTTTGGGTTGTGTTATTGTATTACATTTTAGCCTGCCGACGTCCTCTTCTGTAATAACAGGACTTTTTTTTAAATGATCGGGTTGACTTGTTTAATATTGTTTCCCCTTATACACCTTACTCGATGACTGAATCTGTTTCTTGCGCGCGTGTGTGTGTGCGTGTGTGTGTGTGTGTGTGTGTGTGTGTGTGTGTGTGTGTGTGTGTGTGTGTGTGTGTGTGTGTGTGTGTGTGTGTGTGCGTGCTTGTGCATTTACATGCACACACGTGGGTCAGGACAGTGACGCTAGTGCAGCAGCTCGAGCAGAGGAAAGGACTGAACCAGAAATGCAGGACATATCTGGAGGCCAGAGCGCTGAACCACCATCACGACAGGTATATGCAACGTTTTTTTTTTTGTATGCATCATCATTTTGGTGATGACATTTTTAAGAAGTCATCTCAGGTATTGTCAGAGCTATTATTTCATCAATCAAGCAAAGCGACAATATACGCTAAGTGCACAGAGTTAGGGATTATTGATGGAATGAAATTTCTATATGAATCTAAATACACTCTAACCTCTACAGGTTAGCTTAATTTGACCTTCTCAAAACCTTTGAATGTACATACTCTTCAATATTTCAATGCATTTTGCACAATTTGCTGTTCTCTCACAAGTAGCTAAATTTCACAATTCACAACCCCTGTTTGATCCATGAATTGGCCAAGAAATTTCCCCGGTCCTATTAGAGTTGATATTTTAACAGTCTTCACAGTCGTGTTGTTCACATTTTGACATCATGAGACTAAGATGCGACCAGAGACCAGACCAGAGCCACTGCGAGACTTTAAATAGGATATTCTCAGAGGAGACCACTGACCACTGTGTCACAGAGTGGCTTCAGCAGGTGGCAACAGAGATCGAGAGAATGGAAGAGTCACAGAGAGGCATCGAAGTGGATGTCATGGGAGAGAGAAAAAAAAACCTCTTGTGAATTTTGCTTTTTTTTTTTTCCAGTTTCTTGTTAGAAAACAGCAAATTCTGTAAGAAGCACTGTAACACTGAACAGTTGGACATGTGCCTGAAAGAGTTTTGAGACCAAGTCAACTTCAATTTGGTAGTGCATTTTCGGTTCATTCAAAAAAATTCACCCGAAAGCCAATCATCCCTACCCTTTTGGGATTACAGTGTCCAAAAAGTTTATTTTTTATTTTTAAATTTTTTTTAGTTGGTGTGTGTGGGGGGGCGGGGGGGATTTGTTTTACAAAAACCGAGACGATGAAAATTAGAGAGCTCAGTCCCCTTTAATCAGCATCTCAGTATTTAATAAAATAAATAAAATAAAAGGAAGTCAACTTCTACCTCGTGGAAATTTATTTATGGGGGGGTGGGGGAGGATTTGGAACGTATGACCCTCAAAAAGTGAGAGAACACTGGTGGAAGATTTGAAAAAAAAAATTGGGAACATAATTTTTTTTTTAATGATGTCTGGCTTTCATTTTGGACCGTGGTAGGGGATCATTGTCTTAGAAAGTGTACATTTATTGAAAATTAATTGTTTCTGCTTTCTCCAGTTTCTTTTTGCCCCATCTCAAAGTAGGAACCGAAAAATCCCACAATTTTGTTCATGTTCATTAGTTTTCTTTTTTTCCCCACGTTACCTAAACTTCACACTGAAAAGACACTCTTTCCCACGCACTGCAAAGCAAACTTATGAGGCCACCTCCCAATATAAAGTTTATGCCATAGCTGCTCTCAACTAGCAGCATTGGAAATTACCAACATAATGTTGTTGTCTCTGTCATGGCTAATGGATGTAGAAGCTTTTAAAAGAAAATGTGTGTATAATGCAAAAAGTACGTAATTATTGTTATCCAGGAATTTTCAAATTTAGTATTGTACAAAATACTGAGGAAAAGAGTAAAAACACTTTAATTGTTCCTTTATCAAGCTGTCAAATATGTTACTGTATTTACATTACTGAACAGAAAAAAAATACTCTTCGTGATTGAATTGCTGTGCTTGCTTCATTTCTGACGACCTTACTTAGAGAAGAAGTACCTCTGGGTATAAAGAGGTGAATTCAGTTTGTAATTTGTCATTCTTCTTCTTCTTCTTCTCCTTTCGGCACGTCCCTATTCAGGGGTCGCCACAGCGAGTCAGTAATTTCCATCCGCCCCTGTAAACCGTCCTACCAACTCGCATGGTCGTCTTGGCAAAAGTTTTACGCCGGATGCCATTCCTGACGCAACCCTCCCCATTTCTCCGGGCTTGGGACCGGCACTGGGGAACAGTGCACCCCCAGGGGAGGGCACTGCCCCCCAGCGGCTGGGTTAGTTTGTAATTTGTCATTAGCGTTCCAAAATTTAAAGCCTCAAGAGCTTGCTGAAAATCAAGTGCTTCATGATACTGGGCGGTGTGTTCGATAACGGGTGATAAAATACATTTATTGAGCCAAGTTGATCACAGGATGAACTTGTTTTGATTTAGAAATGTTTAAACTCATATGCATTTTTTACGAATCACACCTGGACTAGTTTTATTGTCAGAAAACTCCACTGCTTGCCTTGCTGGCCAGCTTTTGTCAGCACTCATCGCATCAGTAACTACCACCTGTTGTCTCTTGTATTTAGTTCTGGTAAAATTGTTATTGTCTCTATGAGGGAAGTGTTGACATGTTCAAAACCTTTTCACCAATCTGTAATTGAATCATATTTTCATCTTGTGTATCTTTTTTTCATCTTTCTGTCTTTCAATCTTTTGTAACATTTGCACCATGACCCAGGATGTGTTTGAGTAGCTTTTGTGCTGCTGGGACCTATCCTATGGGCATGGCTGCCACTGTGCCTTCCTCTTTGTCCTGCTCTCCACCTACTGTCACTGTTACTGTTTTGCCATCTAAATTCCAACAGTATTGTCATCCTCGTGTTTGTTTTATTCACCTTAATTTAACTCAACTGAACTCAGCTTTATTTATTGAGTACTTTAAAACAACCACCGCTGTATAGAAAGCGCTGTACATGGAGCAAATATCAGATATACAACAATAAACAGTAGCGCAAACAATAAAGATAAAAATCAAGTCCGAGTCATGCTGAGTCAAAAGCCAAAGAATAGAAATGAGTTTATATATATATATATTGTGTGTGTATATATGTATATATATATATATATATATATCACACGCACACAGAGTTCTACTTGCTATGACAAATGAGTGTGCCCGCAATTTTACGGCAAATACTTAACCTTCATTGGTCATGCCTGCTGCCTCTGATTAGTTGATTTTTTTCCAGCGTGGTGAGTTCTTTAAACTCATATTGCTTAGATTTTAGAGCTACAAGATGGGGTTTGAGAAGTTTTTTTCACACCATTTTGTAATGTCCAACAGTTAAAACAAATAAGTCACTTTTTTTTTATTGCAAACTTGCAAAGTTTTGATTTATTTATTTATATTTTTTAATAGCTGTGGCTTATTTAACAATGTGCTCAGTAGGCCAAACTTATATACATTTTGGTTTCCGCTTACACAATTATTTGACATTTTTTTTAAATCACATGCATGTGTCTTTATTTAATATGTTCTGTATTTTCCATGTGTACTTAGGATCATCTAATATGTCTTTCAAAACACCATCTGTCAGTCCTGCATGTATTTGTCAAGATTGTCACCACCACTATCTTTGCATGCGTGTTCAAATGATCTGACTTGTCTTTGTCTGCCTGCTTCCCTCACCACCCCTTCCTACTTTTCTCTTCCTCGTATCTGTTTGGAATGGATGGACTGTTTACCCAAGGACTCTTTGAGAGGCCGCCGTTTATCCCCTCTGGCAGTTCGAAACCCTCTCAGTGAGACTGTGGTCGAAGGTGGAAAGCCTATTGAGGAGTGCGAGGACAAAGAAGAAGCCCAAGATAAAGATGAGGAAGCGGATGAGAAAAGTGGAGACAAAAAAGGGGATGATGGTGATGTTCACAACGAGCAAGGGGGAGGTCACGGGACTCTGGAAAATGAGCATAAAGAATCCAGTCATGATGAGAGTGACAAGAAAGGCAAAGGGGACGGTGGCGGTTTTGACTTTTCACTAGACCAGGACAATTTGGACAATATATGTGACAAAGATGGCAGACCTGAGAGAGTCCATCATGAGGATATCTTGGACAAGGAAAAGATGGAGTTTGCAGAGGTGATGAAAGGAGATGTGCAGGAGAAAGAGGAAGGCAATAATCTTGTCAAGGTTTCCCCAAATAATGACAGAGATGTGAAGAAGACTCACTATGAGAGAGTTGTGCATAAGAGTACTGCAGATGATTCTGGTGGACAAGATGGAGAAGGGGAAGAGGATGGTGACAGTCATGGAGATTTGGAGCGATGCTCTTTGAGCCAGAGGAAACTGACAGACGACGAAGACGAGGTGTTGGAGAGTTGTGTAGCCAGTGATGATGGAGAAACACATGGGAAGAGAAAAGAGTTGAAAGGCGAATCAGATTCCCAAAAGGCTCAATCAACATCTTTGAATGAGGAGGCCATGGAGATTTTGGAGATGGCAACAACTCAATCTGACCAGTGCAGCAAGAAGGCAAAACACGGTGTCCTTCCAGTCTGTGACCAAAAGAGGAAACCTGGCAAGATGGAGAATGTGAATAATAAATCCCCCCTTCCTGCAGAGGTAGGGTTTGCTGTTAAATCTCTGTGTGCTGTGTGCTCATATGACTTGTTGCTAGCTTAACCTTCCAGATACTTATCAGCTGTAAGCATGCGGTGCCAGTTTCCAAAAATGCAACTCCAGTCTTTCGGAGCACAGGCAGATATAAATTACAGTGCAGGCTGTTCATATTTTAGTTTTTTTTTTTTTTTTTTTGTGAATCATGTGTGATGTACAGTATCAGTCAGAGTCGGGATCCCAAATCCTTTGTCATTAAAGCTGGCCTACTTCTCAGCATGCATGCTCACTTTGTTTTGACCACACGTGTTGGTTTACACAACGGAAGCATCGGATTTGCAGCATAAATGCTTGGTCGTGTTATAGCTTCTCTAGACAATGCTTTTGTGAATATGTGCATTTGATAAAAGTGGCAAATCCATGTGTCCATGTCTACAATGGCTAAGTGGTTTCTTGTTAATTAGGTGATTTTGTGTGTGTGTGTGTGTGTGTGTGTGTGTGCGTGCGCGTGCGTGCGTGCGTGCGTGTGTGCGTGTGTGTGGTTAATTGCAGCATTCTGATGCCAGCGATGACATTAAACCTGGGTCATCCTCCATAAACATGAAGGTATTGTGATTATGCAGCGTGACTTCCATTTATCCATCACTCAGTTGAATGTTTATCACGTGATTTTTTTTCTCTGACCAAGTTACAGTATATCACTCCCCCACACTTTTTTTTAACGGTTCACCTTTGACAGAGGTTTGTGTTGCAATTGAGGGACATTGCACTTGGTCGTTATAACATTGCTAAAGGAAAAATTGCTCAGTGTGAAACCTACGCAACGAGCTCCTATTTGAATTATTCGATAAACTGTTTTTTTCTTATTTGTCTCACAAAGATGTCGGAAAAGGTTTTGGACCTTAATGATCTGTCTGGCTCTGTGAGTCCATTGGAGGATAATGATGAAGATATGGAAGCTGAAATGGATAAGTGTATCAAAGGCAAGACTGCCAAGAGGTTAGTTGCTTCCATGCTGTTTATGGTAAACTGATGTTATACCATATCTACATATTACTCTCTAGACACCAGCTACCTTGTTGTGTTTCCACTCTGCCACTCATACTTCCTGCACATTTATACCAGACAGAAGAAAGTCATGGACTACACCAATCTTTAAAACTGATGAATGAATGAAAATCACATTTTGTGGTCTCAGAATAGCTACTATTCAAATTAATGAATACTGTGATTTATTTTCAGAAATTAACTTTAGAAATGCACTTTCTCCACAGGCAGGCTGCAGACGAAAACAAACCTACATCTCCAAAAGTCGACATACTGGTGCTCCACCAATCAAGTGTTCAGAATCAACAAACAGAAGCTGGTCTCAGCTCAGCTATGAATCTGCACAGGCCTGAAACATCGAGACGCCGACTGTGCCGAACTTCCAGCACCCAAATCAACGAAGGAGAAACTGCCGTACGGAGTTCTGCAAGCCCATTAGAAGAAGGCTCAAACTTTGGAATCAGGAAAAGTGAGAAGAAAGAAGAGAGGGAGGAAGAAAATGAGTGGAGGAAGACTGAAAACGAAAAGAGTGTAAATGAGAGTAGCGGGGAGCAAGACAGGAAAAGTGGGGATGCCATTTGGGGAGTGGAGAAGAGCAAAAAGCAAATAATGGGGGAGAAGAAAAATAGATCGTTTGATCTTCAGGAGACAATGAGCAGAGAGGAAGAAGAAGAGAAGGAACGTTTGAAAAGGGAGAAGGAGAAGAGAATCTCTCTCTTCATGGAGGACTTAAAGAGAGAGGAGGAGTCAGAGAAGAACCGATTAATGCAGGAGAAGGAGCGAAGAAAGTGTCTCCTCCAAGCGGAGCTGAGAGACCACGAACAGGAGGAAGAAAAGCTTACAGAAGAGAGCAAAGATAAACTGAGGTACTGTAGTTGTAATTATGATCTACAAGCAGAGAGAGGTCTAGACTTTCACAACTTTTGTTTTTTAACATCCTCTCTAAATTAAACTGAAATTTTGTGTGGGAAAGCTTATACAAAAAGGATGAAGAAATTCAACACACCTTCCCCATTACCGTTTTTTTCTGCTGAGGTTCTTTCATATTTCGGTACGATATCCAGGATGGTACAGTTTGGTATTTTCCAGAGTGTCAAAAATGTAGTAATTGTGATATTGAACAGTGTCATCTACATTTATCACTACTCACAGTTTTAAAACATAAAAAAATTGGGGTTATTGTTTATCAAAAACTAATTTTGAGTGCTATTCAAACCAAGATGTGTAAGGTCATTGCAATATGTAATTTACATGTTGTTATCAAATGACATTTTCTGTTGAAAAAAAACTTTAAGCTCTGTTTTTCGTACTTAATTTGTTTATCTGCCTTGTCAGGGCTCTGAAACAGCATCTTTTGTCCAAGAGGCAAGAAGAGGAGGCAAGGTTGAACGCGGAGTCTGACAAGATCCTGGAAGCACTGAAAGAATCTGCTTTGAAGGAGAGAGATAAGCAGCTTCATGAGCTCAGGTCAGAGTCACTCAGGTGCATGGGAGCAGTTGCTTCATGCAGTTATTTTCAAAATGGGAAAACACAAATTCGTCTCTCGTAAAACAAACAAACAAAAACATCTTGAAAATATTTTTTAAAATCTGTGAATAGGGGAATTTATGGGCGCCACGATACAGGTATGTGTTAGGTGTTTCATGTTGATCGGTAAGCTGTCACAGAAGTAGTCAGCCCTCTCAATATCTGTTTTCATTATCAATATTTTGTGTTCAGCGTTCCCCTACTCCCTGTGTGCTGCAAATAGGGTGGAGCAGCAGATCAAGTATGATGTACACCTGCTGAGTATCACGGCTTATCCGTGGTGTTTCTACAATGACTGGACATCTGGACTACCCAGTGATTGTATCAGCGGTGACTAGAAGTTGGCCAATGAGAGTGCAGTCAGATTTCGGGGAGGTGGGACTTCAGCAGAAGGGCAAGCCACAGTGCAGAAAGAGAATACACTCCAACTGCAGTTAGGAAGTCCTGGGTGATTCTAAATTCTACCTGGAAGCTTCTTGGTGGTTTTTAAAGGTGGACATTTCCCAGGAAAATCACCCTACAGATGAATAAAGCTTCTTTTTTTTTTGTGTGTGTTTGGTTGTTTTTTTTTTTTTTTTAAAGCTGAGAAGCTTCATAGGCCACAGATAAAGTCCCGTGTTTAATTTGCCTCAGTTCAACTTAATGTGCCATATTTTCCGCAGTATAAGGTGCTACGGGGAATAAGGCGCACTTTCAATGAATGGCCTATTTTAAAACTGTTTTCAAATATGGGACACACCACATTATAAGGCGCATAGAATAGAAGCTACTATAGTGGCTGCGGTTGCCTTATGAATCCACTAGATAGAGCGACGCTAAAGGAATACAATGCAATTCAAAACAGCTTTATTTATATCGAGCTTTCACAACCGCTGCAACTGTAACAAGGTGCTGTACAGAATAATTAAAATACTATGTCCAAGAAATCTGAATATTGATCCATATATAAGACACATCAGATTTTAAGACGCACTGTCGACTTTTGAGAAAATGTAATGCTTTTAGGCCTAATAGTGCTGAAAATACGGTAGGTCAAATAGCTTAATCATTATTCTGATAAGTTAGTATTCATAAAAGTGTTTTGAGGCAAATCTATGAACAAGACTGAACGGTCACATGAAAGTAATGTACTTAGACTATTTTATACACTATATATAATTCTTTTTTTTTTTTTGTTCAGGGAAGAGAGTGAAGCCATGCTGAAAGATTTGCGGATCACACTTGAAGAAGAAAAGGCAGCAGAGCGTGACAAGTTGGAGACTCAGAATAAGGTGGACATTGAGCATCTGAAGGCTGAGTCAGAAGGAAAGGTGCAAGCAGAGAAAAAGAAACTTCAAGAAGAGAAACTAAACTCTTTTAAAAAGGAGGTGGTTGAGTTTTGTTCTGAAAAAACAGCAATAAGCATGTAAACTCTCTATGACATCTTTATAATTTTGTTGCTGTCTGTTTTTATTTGTGTGCTAAAAGGTCAGTGGCACAGAGAGGAGGAGGGAGCTGATTGGTCCACGTCCTGAACAGCAGCTAGCAGAGTACCACAGAGAGGTACTTTATTGAAAGCCAGTTCACTGTCATAAAGCTTTCAATAGACATTTACTTTTCCCATGCAGCTGTCAGATTTGCTGCTGGAAGTGCGGGAAGAAGTGCAGCGTGACCATGAGAAGAAGCTGGAACAGCTGAGGGAGGAGCACAGGAGAGAGCTTAACAACATCAGAGATAAACAACTGGAGGAGGTTAGAAGAATATATCTGCTCGCTTGTTGTGTTGAGAAAGACGTCTATCGAAAGCCACCTATAATTTTGGCAAGCCTGCGTTCAGATAATTAGATGGAGAAGCAACACTCCTCCGAACAGACCCATAAGCAATAAATATTGTGTATTATTTCGTGTCAATAGGCTTTTTGATTCATATTTGTTGTCATTGATTTATGCCTGTTGAGTTTTTATATTAATAGTGACAATACATACTTTATTTTAATATCCAGACTTAGGTCTTAGGGAGTAAGTACATTTGTTATCGCGGGGCCAAGAATCAAGCCGTAAATCCAAATGCATAAAAACAAAGGCAAGTATCTGACACCATTACCTTTGAAAACTGCTGAGTATTGTCTACATTAATAATTTAAACAGGAAACTACAGCAAACTATGATCCTAAAACACTTATAATTTCTAACTTGTCTGACAATATTACCCTAAAAAATAAATGGCTTACAGATGACTGGAATTAAAAAAAAAAAAAAAATGGGCATACTATAACATGAAGTGAAGTTTTTCCATAATGTCCACTAACAGCCCAGGCTTAGTTTAGCTTCCCCCCGACATACAAAGCATGTCTCTGTCAAGTATCATATCATTTTACAGTCCTTCCTTGGACAAATTACTGTACTATGTTCCTATTTAGACAGGGCTTAGATGCCATCTTGAGACATCTCGGGGCAGCACACAATGTGCTTAAGTGACGGGAGGAGACGAAAGCACGATCATTTCCAGTTAAAAATGAGATCCCATGGACTTAAATTGAGGATTTATCATAATTTTGGCATTCACTTTATTGGACGTAAAAGATGAACTTTGTGTTGCTTTTAACTTTCGAATTTGAATATTTATGTTTATTTGTGACAGGAAAGTGTCCAGAGGGACCGCTTGCTTTCTACTCTGCAGGTTGACAGAGAGCATCTTCAGGCCTCGCACGCTCTTCAGCTAGAAAGACTCCACAAGCAACTTGACAGTGAAATAGAGAAGGCACAGCTGACACATTCACATAGGGTAAGATCATACAGACTCATGCAACGTGCGTCATGTGGTTGAGGAAAAATGTTGAACTTTTAATAAGGAGAAAGACTGATGAAGGAAATCAGAGACAGCTTTTTCTTCTCCACGCAGCTGTTGATCGTTGAAATCAAGCAAGCACTTTATGATTTTTTTTTTTAATGTTTGTAAAACTGAAAATCAAAAAAAATACAAAAGTAAGTTCTTCATGTCTTTAAAGGAAAACAAACAAGTAATGTCGCACTGCTTTCACTCAATGCGTGTGTGCTTGAATTTTAAGGCGCACCTTCAATGAATAACATAATTTAAAACTGTTTTCATAAACAGGGCGCACTACATTATAAGGCGCATAGAATAGAAGCTTCAATAGTGGCTGCGGTTGCGCTATGCATCCATTGGATGGTGGTACGCCAAAGGGAATACAATACAATACAATACAGCTATATTTTTATAGCACCTTCACAACCACTGCAGCTGTAACAATAAGAACTGGCCACAAACACGGATATGAAACATACAGTGTTCCCTCACTTCTCGCGATCAGAGAGTTAACCACGTGACGAGACACAAGGGAAGGTGCTGGGCGGGGCTGCGAAGATGCGTAGCCAATCAGCTCATGGGATACATCCACTCGTGCTGTCATTGGTCGACGTCGCGCCGGGAACCAATCATGCATACAGCCATGTACAAACCCTCTGAGCCATTCAGCATTTTTTTCTGAATACAGAACTTTGGAAAAAAATTAACACGATGTAGTGAAGCCACGATAAATGAAGTGCCATGTAGCAAGAGATCACTATAAATACAAATGGTATTACAAAACAATCAATGAAACACAAAAGTTATGAAGACACTTGATTCAACAAAAAGGCACACAAACCTCGTGGGCTTACCTATATCCTTAGAAGTCTTGGTTGGCTCCTTTCTTCGGTTAGTCAATAGTTTACTATGCTTTTGGTAGTATCTTCGTTTCATAATGGCTGCGCAGAGCTCACAAAGTAGTTGTCTATTTGAGTGTGTGTTGGGGAATGCACAAGTCAATTAGTGTTGGGCAGAACCCTTTGAGGTTACAATTGGTTCCTGCTCATAATCACCAGTAGATGGCATAGGAACACTAACGGGGAAACAAATCAATGGGGAATATTAAGAGACTATATTTAAGGATTGTAGGACGCACTGTTGGCTTTTGGGAAAATTTAATGCTTTTAGGTGTGCCTTTACAGTGCGGAAAATACGGTACCTTGGTACAACTGTCGTGGTGCGTCGACAAATTGTCATGTTCCCCTTACATTTCACTGGGCATTTGCAAAGGATATACACAGCAACCTTCTGGTCTCGACTATCTCCTTTCTTACAAAATCTAAAGTGTTCCTATACAAGCGAACACATTTTGTCATCATGTCTATACTGTACACTTTCTCGCCGCCATGATTAATGCGCATCTATGTTGCGTACTTGACATAACTCTCCGCCGTTGACTGGAAATGAAAATTTGGTTGTACAACATACTTTTACACAACGAGTGAAAGGTGCATAAACATTGATTTTTCTTTCTCTGACTTTATCTTGCTTTTAGTATGCTGTAAAAAAAAAAAAACAAAAAACAAAAAGGAAATAAACGATGTTCAATTCCTTAAATGTTTTTATTCTTTCTGCAGGAGGCAGAACTGAAGGATCTGATCAGTCAGTTGGAGCTGAGAGCCAAAGAGCTGAAGAGAGAGGAGGAAATGCTATACAGCAAGGTACAAATTGTTCAGAACTCACCAGAATAAAACTCAAGCTACTGTACGAGGACTAATAATGTCCCTTCTTAAGACTGCAGATCTGAAGAGGAAGAGGAAGGTGCTTGGGGAAGAAGAGGAGGATCTCGACAAACGGACAGGGGTAAGGGTGTGTTATGCAGACGGACGACGTGAACTACATATGGGTAAAGGTTGTATTTGCATGTATCCAGGCCTTACACAAAATGACCCTCGAGAGAGACCAGCTAAAGCTGGAGCTGGAGAGGAGAAGGGAGGAGCAAGCTCAAGCTCAAGAACTCCTGTACGTGGTGCGGGAGGAGAGAAATGAGGCCCGGCTGGGCGAGGCGAGGTTGAGGGAGGAGAGAGACAAAGTCCGGGAGGAAAGCATGAAGGCGAAGGAGGACAAGGAGCGACTGGAGAGCAAGGTGGCTCTGCTGGAGGAACGATGCAACCGGCTCAGTCGCAGGGTCAGGTATGAAATGTTCACAGATGTAGCCATGATATTGAACATGAAGTTGTTATCACATTGCAAGCTGGATTTTAAGAACATAATCGATTTCCTCTGAATTGTACTTCATTCCTGTTAGCGAGTTAGAAATACGCAATGGAGGGATTGGCTCCAGACAAAAGGACAAAAATAAGGTGAAGTTGCCCTCTAGTGGCCAAAGAGACTCATCGCTGCATGTAGATGACCTGGAGGAACCGCTTCCCTGTAATGCACCTGACAGTCAAAGCGACATCCTTGAGTAAGTACAGTACAGCCTTTGTTACTTGAATGTACTGATTTACGCTGACCTCCAAAGGTGATGGCACAATGAGGCCAAATCCTTTTTTTTTTCAGTAGGACAAAAAAATGGATTTTGACATCAACAGAGGATCACCGATTTGAAACCACCTATTATTCACTTCTATTTTAAGCCTAGTCTAAGTCAAGTACCGCATGTAAATATATGTATATTGTTGCTCTCCTGAGAATGTGGTAGTTGGTTGAAAATACAATGTTTGAATTTGCATGTAGTGCAGATGTAAAATTTCTTGTCTCATAATCATTCATTTTGATGCCAAAGGTTACCAGTGTCCCAAAAAAAAAAAAAAAAGAAGGAATCGGCCTCATCATTCCAATATTTTTGGAGGCCTGTCGAAAAAGAAGAAAAATCTTTTTTTTCATTACAGTTCTTGCGTCCATATATATATATATATATATATTTTTTTTACGTGACTAAAAGTCGACAGCTTGCTGCCATTGAAAATATGACTCTGCACCCATCTATTCAGATTTGGCGGATTGAACTCCTCACATTGTACATCCATCGAAAAGACCAAACTCTTCCTGGAGAAGGAGAGCAGCCGACTAATGCAGAAACAGACCCTGCACGTGGCCCACAGCAACTCCACTCAGCAATCCAACCTAGAAGCAAAGGTAACTCAGCAGATAGTAAGAAGTGATCCATATTCTTGTTGCGTATTCAAAGAAACTGTTGCATTTTCATTCTATTGTCAGGAGGCAAGACGTTTGTATGTGAGCCAGCAGATGGTTACTAGTGGGAATGCTCTCAATCGCAGGAAAGAACAACTTAAGCAGCTTGAAGGTTCCATAGCTGAGGAGGTTAGCATTGTGCATCATATCTCATACAGTCATGGGAGGGCCCCCGGCAGCAAAGGCCTTTATGCGGAAGCATATCTAAAAGCTTCTTTATACTTCCTAGCCAATGGCTAATATTGGCTAGGAAACCACAGGTTTGAGTTTTCTCTGCATTGTTATGGCCAATTCCAGTTTTACTTTGCACAACAACAAGGAACAAGCGACAACACTGCAGACTGTGGAATATTGCCTGCTAAAACAATGGGCCCAGATGACCAGTGGATGTGGTTAACTGTCTTGCAAAATCGATCAGTGTATGGTAGGGGATCCTGTTGGTTATGCAGTGTCTGTCACCTTGAACTCATACAGGTATACAGCTGATAAGCTTTTCAAAAGAGTGTACTTGGCAAAGCGCTTTGAACAATATATGGTGTCGGTAAAAGTGTGCTTCATTTACCCACCATCCATCCATCCATTTTCTGATCCGCTTATCCTCACAAGGGTCGCGGTGTGCTGGAGCCTTTCCCAGCTGTCTTCGGGCAGTAAGCGGGGGACACTGAATTGGTTGCCAGCCAATCGCAGGGCACACATAGACGAACAACCATCCGCGCTCACGCACGCCGAGGAACAATTTGGAGTGTTCCATTAACCTACCACGCATGTTTTTGCAATGTGGGAGTACTCGGAGAAAACCCATGCAGGCATGGGTGCAGGCATGGGGAGAACATGCAAACTCCAGCCAGGAAGGCCGTAGCTGGAATCAAACCCTGCACCTCTGCACTGTGAGGCTGACACGCTAACCAGTCGACCACCGGGCCACCCGCTTCATCTATCACTTCCTATCAGTTCCATTATTTTGGACTATTTCTGATGTGTTTTACAGCAGAAGTACAATTAATAATCCATTTGAATGGATTCAGTGAGTTAATGGTTAACGAAGAGCAATTGCGGATTTGAGATACGAGCCCCTGAGCACCAGATATGACAACAATTACTATCTGGCCGATCACTCACTCAATAGCAAGCAACTGGTGGGTGCAGAGAAAGGCCCAGTCATTGATGTGACGTCACATCCGTTCCTTGCATTAAATTGCAGGCTCGCTGTGTTGGTGGCTGCAAGGCTAGAGACAAAGATGGGGATGACAGATATTTGTCAAATTCTACAATATTGCTCCATTTCCCTATCAATACCTCGAAAAGGGCTCCTTTCAGGATTCAAAAGTTCCATGTAATAAAAATTGACACCAGTGTTACTTGTGTGAAACTGCCTGATGTCGTGAGAGTACAAATGGTAAAAACAAGTGGCAAACATTGGACTTTTAGCCCTTTCATGCATCCTGTAACCTGATGACATGATAAGCTGTCCACTGTAGCAACCGCTGTCCCTGAAAGGGTTAAAGGGCTGTCAACAGTTGATTTAATCGGCTGGGCCCTGTAATTCTGATCCAAGGTACTGCAGTGATTCCTTACTGTGTGTTGAGCACTCGTTTTTAATTTGCACATTGCTCTTGCTATAATACTTTCACTTTCTTGATTCCCTTTGCAGTCATTCCTTCAAGATGCGTCGCTGTTTGCTGGAGACAGGAAGGTCACATTTGATGTGACAGATTCAGACTTAAGCACCACTGTTGACGCCCCTGATGAGCCAGGTGACAAACAATGGTCTTTTGCCCAAGGGGAAACTAAAAATATTTTGAATACATTTTTTCCTTCCTCATCTCATCTGTTATCCTCTCACTTATTAGGAGGCGGTGTGATGTTCTCAGGCCAGCTCGACTCCGTTTTAGGTGCTCTAGGATCATTAACCCAGAAGCAGGGCAACGCATCCTCTGCAACAAGATCTTCAACCACTCTAGGCCAACCTATCCCACTTTGGAAGTCGTCAACCCAAGGCGGACCCGGATTGACCCCCTATCCGGACAGCTCCATCATGAGTGGCCTGAGAACTGCTGATGATGCCACACTCCGCAGATGGAGAGAGATCTTTCCTGGTATACACAGTAGAGCCATTCTTCATCACTTGTTCGATGTGAGCAGTGATCGTTGTTGTTCAGCCTAAACTGTCGGGTATTGGTGGTGTTGTTGTTGTTGTTCCCCAGAAGCAGCTGCACTCAACTCCAGCACCCCAAGGAAATTCACCTCACCTCCATCCTATACTCCTGCGAGGTAAACAAATATTTGCCTTTGTAGTCTAAATTGGAATCGCTCAAAGAGCGAAATGACTTAAAAAGCGTGTCAAGTGTAATACCTGCAATACTCTTGACCGCCTCAAGGGGCACTATATCTGGTTTTGGATTAGTGATCATCTCTCTCTCTCTCTCTCTCTCTCTCTCTCTCTCTCTCTCTCTCTCGCTCTCTACATATATTAGTGCTGTCAAATGATTAAAATGTTTAATCGTGATTAAAAACGCAACTGTCATAATTAACCCATAATTAATCGTGATTACTCACATTTTTTTTATCGTTTCCTAATTTCCTTTTATATTTTTTGTCCTATTTTTTCCCGTTTTAATGCTCTCATCAACATGGAATCATGGATCAGTTTTCTATGTGCAAAATGCAAATATTTACTGAAACAACAATTTCGATTTTCAATTTTACATGAACATTTTTCACTTGGAGCAGTTATTCACACATAATCTCTCACACAATATGACTGTCCATCAACAACAGTGAAAAAAATATTTTGTCACACAACAGCTCCTTCAACAGCTCTTTTTAGGGAATCAAAACAGAGCAATATAAAATTATAAAGTGCACATCTAAGGTAAACTAGTACTCAGCCTATAGTGGATTTAAGCTATGGTTGTATACTTTGTTTTTTTAAGTTTGCTTTGAACACAGCAGTCAGGCTATGTTGATTCTGTTGGTCCTTCTTGCGCAGAAGTCTCTCTATGGTTTTGTGTAGACATCATTTTGGACGACTACAGTTGGTTCGAGGCACAACACTGGAGATGTTTTATTTTCAGTGTGGTCGCACCACTGCACCGCCCTCGACGTGCCTCAGTGCACCGTCGCTGTCAGACGAACACAGAGAAGCTCCACCCCCTTTATTTATATGGACACGGAACACGGTAACCTTCCACACAAAATAGTTCCAAAGAAGTAAGAATCTCGTCAGTGGCATACATCGTACTCAACAGGCTATCTGCTCTTTATTCACCAGAGGCTCATCAACCTACCGTATTTTCACGACTATAAGGCGCCATTAAAAATCTTAAATTTTCTCCAAAATGGACAGGATGCCTTATAATGTGGACCGTTTAGTGTATGCGCCGAGTTCCAAAGCCTGACTGAGAGCACTTTTGGCACGCTGTTTATACAGAGAAAAGGCGGGCGTGAGTGACGACAGGTAGGCGGAAGTCCGCCAATGAGTGAAGACGGGTGGGCGTGTAAGAGGACGCTAAAGGCACGTCCCTAGCAGGCAGGGATGTGTCCAAGGACCGGCAACCCGAGGCCAAGGCCAAGGCCAAGGACTTGCCTCCGAGGCCAAGGCCAAGGCCAAGGACTTGGAAAATTTTCTGAGGCAAGGCCAAGGCCAAGGACTTGAAAAGTTTTCCGAGGCCAAAGACAAGGACCAAGGACTTGCTTCCGAGGCCAAGGCCAAGGACCAAGGACTGAGTTTGAAATTGAGGCCTAGCCGAGGACATGTATAAAACAATGCTATCATACCACTTGGCAGGTGTTCATGATTTGCAACACCCCTCCATCATAACCCTTTGCACTCCCTAACGCTTGAATGAAGTGATTTTATTCAAAGAGTAGAACAGTCAGGGTACGTGTTATTTATACTGAGAAAAAGAAATAAAATCATATGATATACATTTATGAAT